AACTATGGAGAAAATAATTTATGACATTGCAAAGCAAAAAAGAGGACAATGAAAGTTTAAAAAATTAATTCTTCGAAAGCCCGTCACTTCATGTAGACCCATCCTGTATAGATAAGTCCTCTTTTCCATTATCTCTACCACAAAATCTTGTCAACTATGTCCGAAGACTGTCAGCCAAGATGAGCTAAGACTTATCTGCAGAAGGCCTTACCAAGTGAGACCTTACCCTGCGAGATTTCAAGGTAATTCGTTTGAGTCTTGTAAATCCACCAATGAGAAAGAGTTGCCAGTGGGTTCCTTGACAACGATCTACACTCTCTATTACTCGGTTATTTAATTCTAATATTTTATATGCTCAAATTGCTGTAGTACTTAGCGTAGCCCTCACAAAGACTATGCTTGGCTAAGCGTACGATGGTAATATCAGTTTTATCAACACTAAAAATTATTTGGATTACTCACCGCGATGATAACCAGCAGAAGCCAGTTCTTGACCAGTGATGGTAAGCACTGTGAAGCGATCATGATCCAGTCCCATGCTCTGCAAGCGTTCAAGGGGAAAGTGTTCTAGAATTTGGTGTTAGTAAACATCCAAATATCACTTATTTGATAGGCAAAACTCACTGAAGAGCTGCTGCGAAACATCGATATGCATCTCTGCGATGAGTTTATTTGACGGATCGAGAGCAACTCCTTCACTTAGCGATACTACAGCTGGTAGGAGAGCATTCAAACGTCGTAGTGCTTCGCCACGGCGGTAGTAAGCCTTCAAGAAATTTTTATAGTTATAGGGCTCATGGCTGGAAACCATACCTTCGCCCACTTTGGGTCCAATTCAATCGCATGGTCTGCGTTCTTGAGCGCTTCATCGACGCGATCCAGTCGCAGCAGAATCGCAGCGTAATTTGCAAATAGAATCGCGTTGTGAGGTCTTGCAGCGATAGCTTGTTCATAGCATTCGAGAGCTTCGTTAAATCGGCCTTCAGAGTATGCGGATCCGGCTGTGAGGATAATAGCCTCGAGATCTTCTGTCATTTCACCATGAACTGTAAAAGAAAGCATCGGATGTGAGAATAGGCGCAAAAAGTTTAAGAACTGAGAGAACTATACTAAAGAATGTCTCATAAGTCATTTCTGCTTCCATTTTTCATGCGGTAATTCATTTTTGTCGATACTTGCGATATTCTTGGATAGAGCAAAGCAAGCCTACAAGATGGAACCCAAACGTTGCAAAAAGTTCGTTCTATGTAAAGATGCAAAGCAAAGTTCAAAAGATTCTGAATGCCCAAAAAACAAGGAAGAAACTATCCCAGTCCAAAAAATCCCATAAATCCTACTTGCTCACTCATATTCTTTTTTCATTTGGGTATTCTTAAGTATATTTGCTCACTTTTTCATCAACAAATTAACATCAAACTAATCTCATGTTTTTTAATGTGCAAGGTAGAATGTGTATACTCGAATAGTTTTCGGTGGCATACAGAGGGAAGCCTCTCCCCCGAGAATGGGTCGCGAAACCTTTGAAAGTTTATTATAACTTATAACGTGCAATGGGCTTGTCTATACTTGCAACTAACTATGATCTTTGAAAAATTTCAAAAAATCGAATTGGACCTGTCAATATGTTTCGATAAGCCCGAAAGTTATTTTTGGAACGCCTCCCCCTCTCCCCCTCGAGCATGGAAATTCACGGCCGCCTTGGTAGTTTTATAGTAGAACCTTTGCAGTATAATCATAAATTTCAGCCTTTTACAAATGTTACTTTTCAGAAAAATCAGATGTAGAGCAAAAAATCCGAAAAGAACCTTATCTTTTTTGATTTGCAGGAGTGGAGAAGACTCAACAGATGCAAATAGAAATTCCGAGGTGGAAAGTATTAGGTTGTCCCAAAAGTAAACCTTTTCTAAATAAATCAGAGTCTATTTATCATGTTGCCAGACCTGACATATCATTGGATAGAGAAAAGCAAGCT